CACAATCATCAAATAAAATCTTGTTCGTATTATAAAATAAAAACTTGCTTCACAGAAGAAAATGCGTCAAGTATGGCGCAACTCGCAATGCGTAAAATTTTAAAGCCTATAACTCCGCGAATTTTAGACCTAGAAAATTCCGCAAGGTCTTAAATTAAAAATAAAGATGTTTTCTTGTGTTTCTTTATTCATATAAAAATTGATCTGACCGATGGATCATGAGATATTCTCACTTTTCCAAACCTAACTTTTTCATTGGCGATAAGAATCTGGGAAACCTTCACCCGAGATTCTTATCTCACTGATGCACAAGCTTTTGGTGCAAACAGTGACTTCAAAAGCCTAATTTATAAATGCATGAGCGAATTTGTTTTCTGCAATGCATGAAGCTGTTGTCTATGTATGTATAAAATGAATTATAGTTTATCCTTGTTTCCTTGCTGCCAACTTGACTTTCATCTGGACATTTATGTGTGTTTAAAATCGACTTAAACTCAAAAAGGGATTTTTATGTTAACTTCCAATACTTCCAATAAATGAGGGAAATGGAATATCACAAATGAAATGTATCCAACCATGCAAGGAGAAATAGAAACAAATAAAATTGCAATACATATTTTTAGACATCTCTGCAGAAAATTTTCAAGGCATTTTAAAATTTGTTTTTCCTGCCAAATGCACCATTTTTTCTTTGTTTTTCTGATCCATTGTAATTTATAAGTTTATTGAAAAATAATATCCTAAGACCGGATTGTAGAAGTTCTACTCTGTCTTGAATAATTTATTATATTTGTTGGTGTCCTTTTTCATTCATTGCACAATTTTCACAATTATGGGTTAATTTGTGGGGTCAGGAGGGTCTTTAATGTTATTTTTGTCACATAATTGACATATCTTCTCTTTGAATGTGCTATCGTTGGCTTATATATTATTTTTCAACCATTAAATTGGCTTTCAGGTTCATCTGTATCTCAGGATAACTATCTTCAAAAAACTGACAGAAAGGTAATTAGCTTCTCCATGAATATGATGGGAAATTCAACAAATCAAAAAAGCCTAATGTGTTTCCAAATAGTATAACATGATTCAATGCAATAAAAAGAAGATACAGGTACATAATTTGACATCCTGCAATTTAATGGTCAATTTTGCTGGGATGTCAACTTGCACTTCAACATCTCGCCCTAGAACTTGACCTGCAGAGAGACTCAAAATATAAAATTTAACGTAGAAAACATCAAATTTGTCATTGTCTTGCAAATTCAACAACTTTGCAATTCAACTCTTACCCAGCCGTGCATTAGGGTCAAACTGCGGGACACCACCTGTACACTATATCTTTTACATTTGGACCAATTTGTTTTGACTTATTAATTTTTGAAGCCGCACCTACTGTGCCTGAAAAATCTGAACTTGAGTTCCAAGCTTCCAACTGATTTTTAGGATAGGGAAAATGCAAAGGATGGTTCATAGGATTTTTTCAACTGTTTTCTTCATTTGATGAAGTAATTGGATAAATGGATAAATTTGCTCATATTTTGAAAGCATTATAATTGATCATATTCTTACTTCAGTTATATTTCTCTTTCATCCAGGTTACAGTGCAGAGAACAGATATTTGAAATCTCATTGTAGTTTCAATAAAAACAAAAACCAGACGCCATTTTAGACTGGAAATGTTTAGCTCATCATCATGCAGACTGATGAATGTTCCATGAATTACTGTATATATTTCACAGTATTGCAAAACATTCAAAATGCCTTTAAAAGTAGTCAGTGTGATTGACTAATCTTTTTTTTTCTAATAAGGGAATCCGTTCTTGGTAATATTTTGTGGACCTACTGTATAAGGCATGTGATTGCAAAATCCTCACCAGAGTACCCCATTAAAAAGAAAAAAAACCGGAGCATTTGGTTATTGGGCTCCACAAGTGACCAGCAACAAGCCCAGGCCCGCGTATATGGTTGCCCGTGAACCCGAACCCGTCAGCAGAAAGAAAATAATGTGGAATATATTTTTTTTAATATTACACAAAGAAAAGAAAGAAAGAAAACAAAAATGGGCTGCTGCAGCTCGTTAGCCAACCTTCTGGTCTCAGAAGGACATATTTCACACCTGGCAGCTTGACCGACCCAATGAACAAGAAAAAAAAAGAAAACAAAACGGTTTTTTTTTTTTGTGGGGAAGAAGGTGGGGACCATTTAAGGTTTCGCTGAACTTGAACTCCATCAGAGGAAAGCCCTAGAATGGAAAATGAGTGCGTGTGTATTTAGGGTCAAAGTGAGAAGGAGAAAGAGATGCAATTACAATAATCCTTAATGAATTATCTGCTCCACGCCCTGTTGACCCATTATAGTGTCATACACACACACACACACACACATTCAATGTTTCTTGAATAATTTTCATTAAGGGGATTTTCTTTTCGGGGTTGTTGCCCGTGTTGAATGTTTTATGGTGGCGGGAAAATGCCCTGGGGGGGGTTTTGCTCGACTAAACTTCAAACTGCTGCTGTTTGAGCATAAATTATTCAAATTGGCATCCAAATTTTGTTGCATGTACCGTATTTACTCAACTATCGCACTACACCCTTGAGTGAAACGCGTGCCCCAGTTTTTTTGGTGATCAATGAATTTAATATTGAAAGCAACAATGGATGTAAAATTAAACTTTGGATAAAATAAAAGCTGGAAATATAAAACAAAGCTGAATTGAAAGAAAATTGAACTTTTTGTTTTAGCTTGAGCAGGTTTACGTTGTGTCGCTTATTGCAAATTTAACCTGTGATTTGAACATTATATGTTGCACCAAATTTTCGGAATTTTTATTCAAGTATGAAAATAAGCTCTCAACAGATTTCGAGCAGAAAAACATATTTAGATTTATAATTATATTGTGGTTAAGTTATCTTTCTGTCAGCAGGTTTCAATGGCCTTGTATTAAAAAAAAAATATTTCAATGAAATAATCCCTCAAAACATATCTTTGTCAGGTTAAGTTTTAAATTCCCCATTTTAAAGATTGTGCAAGGACGCCTTCTTGAAAAATACAAAAAAATTCTTCATCGTCTGAAACGCCCTGAAAGTATAAGAAATGCTCACTTAACTTGCCAATTTCTAATAGTTCAGGATGAAATTCCCGGAAATCTTACAGCCATTGGGTTAGTTTTTCGTTGCCCTTTTTTGAGAGAGGGAGAAGAACTGTTCTTGAAAAATGTTCAATGATTTCTTGATCACCTGGGACACCCTGTATATAATTTTACATATTGTACTAGACACACTCCTTGTTTTTTTTCAATAAGTCAGCATAAAATAAGACCCCCAAAATAGTAATTGATTATTGCCCATTTTTTGAGAGTAAGCCTTCTTGGAAAATGATTTCTCCAATCATCTGAGACACCCTGTACATAGAAGCCCAGAACACTCAGTCATTGTCAATTTTCCAATGGATCAGCCTAAAATAATACCCCAAAATGTATTTTGATGTTAATTGATTATTGCCCATTTTTTGAGAGTAAGCCTTCTTGGAAAATGATTTCTCGAATCATCTGAGACACCCTGTAAATAGAATCCCAGAAACCTTAGTCCCTGTCAATTCTCCAATGGTTCAGCAAAAAATAACACCCCCAAAATAGTATTTCCATGTTAATTGATTATTGCCCATTTTTGAGAGTAAGCCTTCTTGGAAAATGATTTCTCCATCAACTGAGGCACCCTGTACTATACATAGAAGTCCAGACACTTAGTCCTCGTCAATTTCCAATGGATCAGCCTAAAATAACACCCCAAAAATAGCACTGTATTTCCATGTTAATTGTTTATTGCCCATTTTTGAGAGAGTGAGCCTTCTTGGAAAACTATTTCTCCAATCATCTGAGACACCCTGTACGTAGAAGCCCAGAACACTTAGTCATTGTCAATTTTCCAATGGTTCAGCATTGTTTCTCGCCTAACGTGTTGCGTCACGCTGGTGTTCCCGTTAGTTTATTTATTCATTCATTTTTTTTCTTTCTTTCTTTTCCCCTAGAATTCTCGTTAAGGACGAAAGCCAGTGCTGGAGACATTACCAATGCTGATTCGGAATAACCCAGAGATGTGGTTGAGTGTTTTACAGAGGACTCTGACTTATGAGCTCATTTGAGCAGCCTGAAAGAAAAAATAAAGGGGGCGAGTCTAGAAGATTTTTCCATGATTAACGAGGGGGACGAAGGGGGGGTTTAGAAAAGGAGAACTGGTCTTTTTGCGAAGGCTCTTCTTGTCTGCATCATGCTGCTTATTTAATCGACTGGCAATTTTTCTTTCTCGGGGAAATAATTATACTTGTAAACTGTCCTCTTTTGTTTTTGTGGAGCACGTCTCGGAATTTTAAATATCGCTTTAGATGAAAGACTTGCGAAAGAAACTGTTCTTCTTTTTTTTTACTATAACCTTCAATTATGTGAAGGTCCTGTAGCATTCCGTATTCAAGTTTTCTTCCGTTTTAAATATTCCTGTGGATGTTTTTTCTCTCACTTTGGCAACACTGATGTACTCTTTTGAATTGTACTGAGGTCATAGCATTGATTGAATTGGAGCATGTACTAAGTTTTTAATCGCCTTCCATCAATTGGAACAGAGTGGACCAGCAAAAAAACATGTTTTTTGCTTTTTTAGGAAGTAGCTCTTCTCATTAAATTAAATTTCATAACTGCATTTTCTGAAAATATTTTAAACTATCTGGGAAACATAATAAAATGTTTACAAGTGTCAACTTTTGACAGATGAAATCAGTGACACTCAAATTATCACTTTTAAAGTTTTTCATAACATGGATACAAATTTTACTGATTTATTTCAGAGCTGAAAACAAAAATTTGTTTTACTTGGAGTTGAATTTTTTCTGCGTAAATCCTGAATATTTTTGTGAATATGTTCTTTTAGTTTACTCAGATTAGCCTAGAAAATATAGTTTTAAAGTTTTTTGAAGATTCATTTTTTTTTTCATGGAAATGTTTGACTGACCTGAAAGATGTAGATTGTAAATGTCAAGAGCCCAATCCAGGAATGAACTGATGCCAAGTCAGGATAGTTATTTTTCTTGTGATTGTCAAATGAGACATAGATTCCAATGGAGCAGAGCAGAATTGAGAAAAGCATGATCCCAGCATGAACCAGCTTAAGATTCCACTTGGGGAAACTAGCTGCAAATCTGTACACAACAGCCCCTGAAATAAAAAAAGAAACATGCAAGTACAGTATATGTTTTGACAGAATATGTGTCTTGAAGCAGTTTTTTTCGACGCAGAGGATATGGGTGTAGAAAAAATGTAAATGATTTTATGCCAGGAATCTGGAGATGGTCAACTTACCATGGCATTGAAGTACCAAGAATCCCAATGTCATCAAGAAGATGTGAATGTTGAACTGTGGTTCTTTGCTTGAGTTCCAGTCCATCCCACCCTGGAACCCATAGATCCATCCCAAGGTGATTGCCAGCAGAAGCAGACCAGATAAAGTGGCAACAGAATACACCTTCAAGAACAGTGGGTGTGTTCCCAGATTTTCTGCCACTCTCACAACAATATTTGTTCCCATGCTGGAATTTAAAGGCAGGCATCAGGAGTTGATTGCATGAAATTGCACTTTCATTAGCATAAAATACATATGCACACAACACACACACACACTCTCTCTCTCTCTCTCTCTCTCTCTCTCTCTCTCTCTCTCTCTCTCTCTCTCTCTCTCTCTCTCTCTCTTCCTCCCTCTGTCCAATTAAATTCAATTGAGCAGGAAAAATTTCTGTGGGGAGAATTTTGTTGCTGAGTATACCCCTATAATACTATGGGGCAAGAACCCTAAAATGCCACAAAAAAATTTTGTAAAGAGAAATTCATTGTAGAGAGAGTCCATCTTTGGTACTGTATATACAAAAAAACTCCCTTATACAACAAATATTGTTTTACCGAATTTTTCATGATAACAAATTTTTTTTCTTGGTCCCAGCAGTTTCCCCAATAGACGCCATGTTATAAAATTGGAAAACTGTTCTAAAAGGATATAAACCCCATCATGTACACTGAAATTAAGGCATTCTCACACTTTTGAAATTCCATGCAAGCTTACATTTAACTATGCCTTTTATCCCACTACATGAAAGAAAATAATTGCTTAATACAATTCTTTGAGCTAATAAGTTCAAAAATCCCACTGAAGATGTTTTTGTTGTTGTTGTTGTTGCCAAAATCTGGCTCAAATATTCCTCAAACCAATACATCCCTCTAAAACATTTGAATCCTGCATTACGAATTGTATTTATCTGCTCATCATATTTTGAAATATTTTATTGTCAGAATAAACCCATTCGAGGGAGGACTAAGACTTAAGACTTGTCTGATAGATTAAGAAAAAACGGGTATTAAAAAAAAAACAGTTTTTCAAGAGCATGCACATAATGTTCAGGCTATTGGATTTAAATATTTAATTCAGAATGCTGCTTTTTCTGGTGAAACTTTTTTTTTTTATGACGCAAAAGACAAATTATCAAGGTTTTTTGAAACATTATTGGAACATAGGATTTATAAATACAGTACTGGAATTTCATTTTTGTTCGAAAATGGTGCTCATTTTTGAAAGACCTCTTTTTATCTTACATTTAAATCCACTTTATATCTTCGAGAAATTCATTTTTAAAATAATGTTGTAGGATGTAGAATATTGTTTGAGGCACATGAAAATATTTCGTATCTCGAAGTGCTAATCATATTAATGTGAGAAGCTGAATTCTTTATTTTTTTCAGCGGGATGAAGGACACTTTCACTTCAATTTTAAAACTAGAAAAAAAATTTCGTATCGATGTGAAAACGTAATCCAAAAAAAAATAATAACGGTGCAACTGTTTTCTGTCACGCGCGACACTGAAACTCGACACCGCGAAGTTCATGTAAAAAAATGCTACCGTTTCTCACGTACTTCCCATAACAATCCTCTCTTTTATTTGATGTTTCGAAATTTTCTTTTTTTTTTGGAGCCAAAAGAAGCATGTTTCACTCAAAATTACATATTTTTTATTCCTAGTTTCGTGCTTCAGCATTCATTGGAAACCTTGGAGACTTGAGTTCGTGAATTCCGGAGCATTCAGAGGATTATTACAAGAACCCTTCCTTTTATTTTACGAGAATGGTTTTCAACGTTTTTTTTTAAAGAAATATTTATGATGGCATCGGCAGAACAAAAGACAGAAATATTTTCCCGAGAGAACAATTGAAGTGAAAGTACCGCATTTTGAAATTTATTGTTACGTAAAACTAGCTTATTTACGTAATTTTTCTATTAATTATCGAATATATAAGAATTGAAACCTTTTTTTTCGGAGATGCGGAGATTTTGATTTCCCAAGTTTATACATTTCTGATCTGCATTCCAAAAAAAGTACTTTATTATCATTTTTTTCGTTTAATGATTTTGTATTAAAAAATTAGTACAAGAGTCGTATATACTTCATCGGTTTTTTAAAGCGTTGAATCATTATTCCAAGTACTGCACGTGTCGTTGACCAAACAAAGCAGTTTTTTATTTTTTTAATTTACTTATTTATCGCCATGATTAATAAAAATCATATTTAGTTACGTCTCTACGGAGCTTCCGGGAAACAGAACACATTTTTTCCCCAAGTTTTATTCGAAAAGGTTTTATTTTCCTATGAAAATTGATCCTTTATTGGCGCTTTAAGTTTTATACTGTACTTATAACTTATAATAATTTTGCTGGTTCTGCCATGCCGGGAAAATTGAAAATCAGAGACGAAGAAAGTGAATTAATAACATCGGATAACTTTGAGACGAGAAGAGGAAATTCGGAAACCAAGAGGAAGGTTGAAAAGAAAAATTGAGTGATGGAATGACAAAAAAATGCTTATTTTTCATGCAGTCAGGCCTAATGTCAGGATGAGCTTTTTTTTCAAATGTAACATGAATTAATAATGTACAGTACAGTGTTACTATTTTATAGAAACGTGGTACAATTTTTTTTATGAGGCTGACTTTTCATCTCATATTATGCTAAAGATCAATCCCAGATAAACATCATTTCATTGGTGTACTTTGAAATTTTTTAAAGTTCTCAGAGGTGTTATACCCTGGCACTCCATAGCTTTTCAATTTTCAGTGAGAACCCAAGATGCAGACGTAATTTGTTCAGCAAGATTATCCCTAAGTTGAAACGTCTGTAAGTCAAGTCTGGTTTTCCCATAGACTTACATTATATAATTTTAGTAGGTGTTTTATGGAGGAAATATTCATCAGAATTCCATGAAAAAAATTTGTCTGCCAATTGAAATTGATTCAGTGAATATATTTCAACCAAATAAGAGCATTTGGAGCATTGAATACTGCACCTCTGTGCATTGCATTGAAATGTTGGCATCATTAAAAACACATTCAAGTCACAAAGATGGGAGGAAGTCCCTCTATGCTGGAGGTAGTTTTTTTAATTAGCTGAATGGATGGGAAAATTGTTAGAAAAATACCAAAGAATTTCTCTTGCATAGATCTTATGGTTGGAAATATCTGTTTATTACAACTCAGTCTGATAAAAGTCACTATTCGTGAAACTCATTAGCAATTTTATCATGCAATGTCCTCATGTCAAGTCAGTGATCCACATGTATTTATTTTTGGATTTTTTTTTAGAAAATAAATGTCCCTATGCTGAAGTGTCTGCTTGTGGGTCTCACTGTACATCCAGAAAGACCAAGTTCAAGCAAATGCTGACACAAAACTTCAAAAAAATTGAATACTGTATCATGAAACAGCAACAAAACACTGACACAATTCATTCAAACACTTCAGACACTTGCGACCAAGTTATTTTAAAACCTAATTTATTCTCGTGAATATTTCCTATGCAGGTTTATTGATATCAAAACCTGCAAGGAATATTTTCTATAGGTTTTGGTATAAAAACCTACACCAACAAAAAAAAAACACACACACACACAAATACTAATAATCACCGTTGGCCAAAGCTTCTATCGGTCAAATTCATTCGAGGCTTGATTATCGAAAGAATTTGACATGCACCTAATTTTTCAATCTATATCAATTTATTTATCTTGGGTGTTTCGTGTTGTTCCCGGGAGACGAAGCAGAACAGTTGTGACCCGCGAGTTCGCGACCTGATCGCCAACACCCTTTTGAAACTCATGCTGTTAAGAAGGCACAAAAAAAGGGCAGTGCAAAAGTTTCACACCACAGACAGACAAACAGAAATGAATTTTAAATCATTGCTAAATAAGATAAGACCTGGGGCATTGTGCAAATGTGTTTTCAAAATTCCTCACATTTTAGAATTTAAAAATAGGTTTATATTTTTAGCACAATTGAAATTTTCTGCCACAAAGTACAGACATTTGAGCTATTATATGCAATATTCCGCGAGTTTAAAACATTTTCTTGCGTATACAAATTCAGCGCTGTTGAAGTATTTTTCATTATCTTCAATCGCAGGTTTTTTTAAAACTCGTCAGAATTATGAGACATTCTTTTTTTTTTAAATGAAGACCAATTTTGGCATACCTGAATAAGTTATTTGAGAATTTTCAATTTTTCAGAAGCTAGTACTTTTTTCGAAATATTGTACATGAAAAGTGGTAAATTGAGTAGGACTGTTGATCCAGCGCTAATTTTAATATTTAAAAATTCTTCAATAACGGCGTTTCGTTTATTGAATAATTATTTACTTAAAATAAGGTACACTACATTTCACCATAATTAAAAGATTTAAGTATGAGGTCTGATGAAAAGTTTTTGATGCCATCAGATTGACATGAACTGAAGAAACATGTTTTGCATCTGTGAGAAATCATAATTATGTAGGTTTGAATATGACCAGTGTATTTTTGAAACATCTTGATGAATTTTGAGCTTTTATCTTGAAACGGTAAGATATATACTCAAAAATAATCTGGGTTAATCAGATGAAGGACTCTTTGATCTCAAGAAAATTTTGCAATATTTTCAATTAACTTTCTATATAAGACGCTTCAATCAGAGATATTTTAAAAAGTGAGGGAAATGTTTGGTACCTTGTTCTTTGGAATTTTACACAAACCATGCTGTATTTTATTCTTCCAGAAGGCAACAATTTTTTTTATTTTCAATTTTTTATGAAATTTATAAAATATCATTTTTAATTGATAAAATAAAAATTTCGATTTTTTTCTTGTTATTCTTGTGCAGTACATTTTGCCGCATCTAAGAGAAAATTATATATAATACAGTACTAACACTATGAATTTTAAGACTATTGTATTAATACGATTCTGTAGTTTATTTTTAAGCACAAGACAAGTTCCATCAAAAAAAATCTAGACGAATTTTACAGATCAAGGGCATGAAAGTTATAATTGAATCATCTCCTAAAAGTCTCAAGGAATTTACTGTATATTCTTCAGCGAACTTGGAATATTTCATCACTTTGGTTCACATCTACAATTTTCCAAATGCGGCCAAATCACATTAATGACTTGCTCTAACAAATTTAACCTGGATTATATACAGGAATCCCGATGATGTGCTGATAATTGAGATTAATCAGC